CACAGGATTGAAGTTTTCAGGATGAATTATGACCCAATGTAAAGAAGACCAAAATTCTCACAATTTGGATCAATAAGTAACATAATGATCAACAGAGAAAAAATTAGAAGTTGTAAAGGATTTTGATTTTCTTGGACCCACAATCAATGCTCATGGAAGCATTGAGATCAAAAGGCACATTATACGACATAAATCTGCTGCATGACCTTCTTAGAGTACTGAAAAGCTAAGGTGCTGCTTTGAGGACTAGGGTGGGCCTCACCAAGCCATGGTGTTACCTCATACGTATATCAGAGTTGGACTCTGAAGAAGGAAGATGGAAAAGGAATTGATGCACTTGTACTATGGTGCTGGCAACGAATACTGAGAGCACCATGTACTACTAAAAGAAAACCAAATTTGTCTTGGAAGAAGTACAGCCAGAGTGCTCCTCAGAGGCAAAGGTGGTGAGACTTTGTCTTACACACTTTGGACATATTATCTGCAGAAGCCAGTCCCTGGAGAAGGACATCATACTTGGGAAAGTGGAGGGGCGGGAAAAAGAGGAAGGCCCTCAAGGAGATGGACTGATGCAGTGACTGTAACAACGGGCTCAGGCACAGGAACAACTGTGAGGATGGCACAGGACTGGGTGGTGTTTCCTTCTGTTGTGCATAGTTTCTATGGCACCTAACCACAACACCTTTCCCTGAAGAATTCTGTGCACTTCCAATTGTATCACACCAAAAAGGCTTTTGAGAAACTCATGTTGTGCTCCTATGAAATGTTCTTGGAGTTTGGAGACCAAAAATAAGTCTGAAAGGGCAAGATCAGTGATGGAGGAGAATAAGTAGGTACGTTATCCTGATGGGAAAAAAATTCTTCAGCACATATTTCTTGGCCTTTTTCTCATCAATGTAATTTTCACTTTAAAAAAACCCTATTTCATAATAAGCCCTGTGATCACCCTGTGGCCTTTGAGAAAATCTGGCAAGATGACTACTTAGAACGATTGAAATGCCTTGGGTCAGATGAACACCACCAGTGTTCTTTTACCTGAATCATGCCATGGTATTTTCTATGGCTTCAAACACATGTGAAAACTGGACAATAAATAGGAAGATGAAAGAATTGATGCCTTTGAGCTATGATGTTGGTGAAGGATATTGAATGCACCATGGATTGCCAGAAGGAAAGACATCTGTCTTGGAAAAGTACAATAAAAATCCTCCTTAGAAGCCAGAATGGCAAGACTTTCCCTCTGAACTTTAGACATGCTACCAGGAGGCTCTGGTCTCAGGAGAAAGCCATCGTGCTTGGTAAAGCGAGGGGGCAGGGGAAAAGAGGAAGTCCTTCAATGAGATGGGTTGGTCCCGTGGCTGCACCAATGGGCTCAAACAGAAGAACTGTGAGGATGGCACGGGACTGGGCAGTTTTTCATCGCTGTACATAAGGTCGGTAGGGGTCAGAGCTGATTGCCCAGCATCTCCCAACAGTGTCAATACAAGGCATCCTTGGCGGTGCAGTTCTCTGAGCAAGAGAGATGTGACAGTTCGCTTCTGTAAAGATTGAAGGCCTTGGAAATGCTGTGCAGCAATTCTACTCTGTACTATACCAAACCCACTGACATCGAGTCTATTCCAACTCATAGAGGCCCTATAGAACAGAGTAGAACCTTGGGTTTCTAATACTGTAATATTTATAGGAGCAAACAGCCTCATCTTTCTCCTGTGGAGTTGTTGGTGAATTTGAACTGCTGATCTTGGAGTGAGCAGCTATGTATCATACAATCAGGTTGGACTCAACGCAATGGCAATAGGTTTGGCGTGTTTTTTTTTAATATAGTATACGTGACTAAACTGTCTTGTCTTGAATCCCAGTAAGTTTCTGACAGAATTTTGTTTTGCTTCTTGTAGGTAACTTGTTTTCTCTCTTGGATTGTGCTTGGATATGCTATGGCAACAATGTCAGGGTAAGTGCAGAAGAGCAAAAGTCTATGAAGATAGAGAAGATTCCACTTAAAAATAAAGCATCTAGAATAGAGTAGCAAGAGTATAGAAATTAAAATTTACCAGTGACTATCGGGGCAAATGGAAGGGAGGAGGATTCAATGTTTAGGGGACTCTGAGCCACTGTTAAGAATGGGAGGAAATTTTGGAGAATGGATAAGGGCAGTTGATGTTTGAACATGATGAACATGAATTAGGAATGTTGAAATGGCAACTGCTTTGTTACATATACACTTACTATACACATGCAAACTTACAGTGGTTATTTGCTTTATAAATCATTTTTTATGGACAATTTAAGTAACAAACAATTTTAGCACTCGTTAGTCAATTGGATATCTAAGACAAAAGGAATATAAAGTGAATGTGTTATGAACCACAATTCACTAATAATTCAAGACAAAAATTATTGTGCAAATTATGAAAATATGCAAATCATTAAGAAAACAAGTGTTATAGGCAAAAATAAAATGCATCACGAATCATTCGATTATTGGATTGTGCTTGGTTTTGTTTCCGCCACAGGATACAGAAGAAAACCACTAGAGTGTCTCTGACCATCAGTTCCCCAGTCAATGAAACCACCGCCATCAGATCAAGTTATTCCACCTTAGTTCAGCCGTTGTGCATTGACCCTCAGAGGGTAGGTTCACTTGTAAGCCTTCTGAGAGTCCCCGTAATGGAGAAACAGGCCCAAAGAGGTGGGCATCAATGCAGCTTTCTTAAAAAAAGAAAAAAAGTGCACATTAGAAATGGCTCCCACTGCATGACTTTAGAGAAGAAAAGGGAACAAAAATCTCTGGGTTTCTGAAATAACTCCATGTAGCTCTTTGCCTTGACCATTTGTCTCTGTGTGCCTGGACCTTAAGACACAGTTGGTTTCTAGGAGCTCAGTCCCGAACCCAATATTCCAACGATTCAAAGAGCTCATTCTTTTTTTTAAAAAAGAGGATATGTATGGTTTTTGTTGTTGTTGTTGTTGTTGTAAACTTATAAGATCCAACTTGAGCAACTGTATGGAGGGGGGAAAATAGCCAGTAAAATTAAAAAGTCATTTAACTTTCAATACACAATCTCTAAAAATGTGCCAATGCCTGTTTCTCAAAGGCAATTTCCCTGGGCTGTGTTTCAGCATCTCAGCTGGTGGAAAGTATAAGGAAAGAGAGAGTGGCGTAGGGCAGATGCCTAAGCAGGTATTTAAATTAGACGCATTGTCCTGTTCTGAAAGTAAATTAGGGTGTGGCAAGTAGCAGCTAAAACTGGGTCAGTTCGTTCATGGGCACTCCGTACTTGGGTTTCCGAGCCTTGACAATATGGATGAGAGTATCATGTTCTCTTCTGCTCCTTAAACCAGATGCAGAGTCCTTGCAGCAGCCTTTCAGGATCCACCTGTGCGACAGCCCCTGTTTTCACCAAGGTAACCCATCCCCGTACTGCATGGCGACGTTTGTGTTTTTATAAATACATTACAGATAGTAGCAAAAGGTTAGCAAGAAGGAAAGGAAAAACTCAAAACGACCTCATTTGATACATAGAAAACTTAGGACCAGAAAAAACAAACCCTATTTGCTCGACGTCATTCTGACTTCTGAACTATGTCAACCCTCCAGTCCTAGGCGGCAGTGCCTTCCTTGCACATCCTCGCCAAGCAGGCTGTGCTCTTCCTGACCTCAACGCTCAGTAAGATTCTCTTCGAAAGAAGTCAACGAACAACGCAGTAGCTGCTTCCTGCTCAGGTCACAGTTAGAGGAGAAGCTGGAGAAAGCTCCCCTACTGCCTACTGGAAACAGTAAGCATCAGCCATCTAGGTTGAAGCCTTCTCTGGGGTCTTCCAGCTCCTGCTCAGCGCTGGCCTGAGGCAGGACAAGCAGGGCAAAGACTTCACTTCTCTCAGGCACAGGATGGGAGGCGCAGAAAATGTTACTAAGTAGTAAAGCACTGTTACAGCTCAGGAAGCCTTCTTTCAGCAGACATTATCAGACATACATGTCTGTGGTTTCCATGTGTCTTTTCCCTGCCGCATCCGTTCCCTGAAACCTGTTCTAGGAATCAGGTTTCAGGGGCTGAACAGAACATTAGGTCTCACCTGATACAAAGGTGTCAGCTACTTCCTCTTCAGTGTCAGGGCTAGGTTGTAAAATGAAACACAAGTGCTCAATTCTAGAGGATCCTGGTGTTGGAGATGGTGGGCTAGAATTTAAGGGATAATTTTTGCCACAAATGCCACCCATTTTTTATGTACTTTGAGACTAGACTAGCTATTGTGAATGAATGGTTCTCATATTGTCAATATACAGTCATCCCTTAAGTCTCCTCAGAGGACTGGCTTCAGGACTCCCACAGATACCAAACTCTACAAATGCTCAAATCTCTCATATAAAAGGCTACTGCTGCTATTATTAGGTGCTATCAAATCTGTTCCAATCCATATCACTATGTACAACAGAACATAATAGTGTAGGCATCCTACACACATTCTTTCCTATATTTTAAATTACTTATAATACTTAATATAAAGTTATGTATAGCACTTTATGATCCTTTTTAGCCTTTGAAGATTGCTTTGACTGATTAATGGCTGCCCTACACAAACACCACTATCCCCAATATTTTTGATCCACAGTTAGTTCCATCCCTGTGTGCAGAACATGCAGATAACAAAGCACTGATTATAGTTCTTCATTTTTAATAAAATGTTCAAAATTACTTCTCCGAAATAAGCCTAAAAACTTCAGGGTAGGCTGAGCATTTGGTTAGTTCTACTTCACAGGTGGAAAAACAAAAACTGGAATTCCAGAGAGGTTCAGAGGCTTTTCCAAGTTCCTACAACCAGCTAGTGACCAAGTGGAGATTTCTTTTCCAAGCCAAGCCATGATTCAGGGCTTTTAACAAATGACAACACTGCCAACATTATTGTGACCAATTGTAAAATCCAAGTCTGTAGTTACGTATGTGCTTAACAAAATAATCAAAATGTAACAAAATGAAAACCTTTTGACTAATTTTCTAATCTGAAAATGACTCTGAGGAAGTGTTAGCAACTTTCTGATACATTATAACTCTGTGAAGTCCAGATAAAACGTTTGTATTTGACTGTAAGTCCACTTTACAATCCAAAAGAATGCCCAGCAAGTCCTTGTTTTCATTAAGTCACAACCAACGATGATGATACAAAAGCGTGCACATTGACTGAAATGCACATCTCAAATCATGGCCCACAGTTCCACAAATTCTACCATTCTGTGAATTCTGCGTTTATTCCTCAGCATCTGCAGGACATCTCGACAACTAGAGGTCACTTTGTCGTGTTTGAGTGCCAAGTCCAGGCCACAGCGGCAGCTCAAGTTCACTGGTACAGAGAACAACAGCAGATAGCCGACTCAGAGGACTTCCGGATTCTAAGGAAAAGTATTATGATAAGCTCTTCTATTTGCTTTTTATTCTAATTAACCTTGACATCTAATTCGTTTCTTAAAGGTGAAGAGGTGACTTGTCACAGGCATAAAGAGCTCTGGCAGTGCAGTGGGTTACATGCTGGGCTGGTTACTGCATGGTCAGCAGTGTAACCCACCAGCAGCTCAGTAGGAAAAGATGAGGCAGCCTGCTCTTGTAGAGGCACTCTACTCTGTCCTACAAGATCGCTGTGAGTCACAGTCAGACACTCAATGGCAATGAGTCCGGGTTTTTGTTTGGAGTTTAGAGGTCTTTATTGGGAAGTAATAACTATTTCAAATCCTTAATGATTCCTCAACAAAAACCACCAACCAAAAAAGAAAACAGAGTTTTGTTTTGCTACAACAAAAGTTTTGATAGCTGTGAAACAACCAGTCTATTTTTATAAATTCATCATAACTATCTTCCTAATGGTGTCTTGGTGTACAAACAAAAATATGAAAGAGAAAGATAAACAGAAAGTAACAACTAAAATGAAAACTGAAGCATAATTTTATAAATATTTTATTATGTAAATATCCTACCAAATATTTAATTTAGGGAAGGGTAACAAGTAAAGTTTACCTACTTCATGCTAAATACTGAGTTAGCGCTTTATAAACAATTCTTCATTTATTCCTCACAGAAATGCTAAATATTTTGTTCAAGGTTTTGAAGCTAGCAAATGCAGAAGCCAGTGTTCAAGCTTAAAATTTAAGTGGCACAAAAAAAAAAATATATATATATATATATAACTCGCTCTAAAATCTCTATTTTCCCTAATCCACATTATGTCATTTCACTACTTAGTAAGATAGCACTTGTGCCAAGTGATAATTTAAGTGGCTCAAAAAAAAAAAAATATATATATATATATATATAAAACTCGCTCTAAAATCTCTATTTTCCCTAATCCACATTATGTCATTTCACTACTTAGTAAGATAGCACTTGTGCCAAGTGATAATATATTCATTTGCATTTAGCAAGAAACATCTGTATTTAAAAAATACAGTACTTTCTTTGAAAATAACATTTATTGTATTTTCTAAGAGTAAATTAATACAAGTTTATTATATTAAATCTGGAAAACATTTTTAAAACACCAAGAAAAAATTAAAAGCTGCCCATACTCTCACCACCCAGAGAAAACTATGAATAACATTTATGTGCATACTGTACATCATTTTGTAATGTAATAGTTATTTTTATTTTACTCAGATCAAGAGAAAACGATTCTCTTAAGAGAGAAAGGCTCCCTTAAGAATTAGAACTACCTTAGGATAGTTCACATTCAGAAAAAAGACTTTATCTTTAAAAAAATACGTTTATTGGGGGCTCTTACATCTCTTATCACAATCCATACATTCATCCAGTGTGTCAAGCACATTTGCACATATGCCGCCATCATCATTTTCAAAGCATTCTCTTCCCACTTGAGCCCCTGATATCAGCTCCCCATTTCTTCCCCCTCCTACCCTCCCTCATGAGCCCTTGATGTTATTTCTTCCATATCTTACATCATCCTCTATCGCCCCTCACCCACTTTTCCATTATTTGTCCCCCTGGGAGGGGGTTCTGGGTTGATCCTTGTGATAGATCCCCCCTTTCTCTCCCCACCGTCCTCTAATTATCCTGGTATCTCTCCTCTCTTTGTTGGCCCTGAGGGGTTTATGTATCCTGGATTCCCTGTGTTGCAGGCTCTTATCTGTAGCAGTGTACATCCTCTGGTCTAATCCGATTTTGTAAGGTAGAATTGAGATCATGATAGTGGGGG